AGCGGTTGTACTCTGTGTCCATTCGGTGTTTTCACAGGACTAAGATTTGTGAAATCCTTCAGACTATGTAGAGATAAAGCCTTATCTTAGACAATATGGAAGGAGGGGACCTCAAGTGAGAATGCAGTGAGAACCCTTGCCCTAAAAAAGGATCAGGTTTATCTCATTCTTGACAGACATTTGTCTGATAGGTTCTTAAAAACTTTCAGTAAAGGAAAATACCACGATTTCTACAGGCAGCCTTCTGTCTGTGCTTACCTTCTCTTTTAGGAAGTATTCTCCTAATGTTTACCTGAAATCTCTCTTAACTGCAATTTAAACCCATTTTGTGGTTTGTATTTTAGGCACATCATTTCTTCTCATATCCCCAGTGGAAAAGGAGAGTAACTCCCACTAATTTTTACATATTTGGCTGTGAAGTCTTTCCTCATACTTCCCTAAACTGCATAAATCTTTTTTTTTTTTTTCAAAACTGGACATACCGTTCCAGCTGCAGCCTTACCAGTATGAGTGAACTGGAAAGATTATTCCACAGTTTTTCCATGTAACATACTAGCTAATATACCAGGAAACGTTTGAGCATTTTTATCAGCAAAATGCTGTTGACTCATATTCAGCTCATTTTGACTCCACATTCTTTTCTGTCTTGTGACTCATCTGCTCTATTGTAATTGTAAAGTTAATTGTTTCACCCACAGAAAATACTTTTTACTTGCCAAATTGAGTTGCATCCTGCTTTTTTAGGCTATCCAGTTTGTCAAAATTGTTTTGAACTCCATTCCTGTTCTTCCAGTACTTGCAATGGCTCCCAACTTTGTGTCATCTGAAAGCCTTGATAAGTTCTTCCTGCCTTCCATCATTCAGGAAATACTGAATGATGCCAGAAGCAGAACAAACTCTATGAACCACTTTATCCATCTCTCCACTTTGACAGTAAGCCGTTGATAACTGTTCTCAATACAGTCTTCCGACAAGCGTCTACCTGCCTTACAAGGGTTTATGGTAATTCTCATTCCTCGCTTTTAAACTACTCTCCTGTTTGGCACATATCATTTTCATCCATCATAGCATGCTGAAAGTGATTATGTTTTTGTTCTCGATTTGTTTCTGGGTTGAAGTACAGCAGGTTGAATGCTCAATGAGTTAATGTTCTGTGTGCGTATTAGTATTTGGTGAGCCTGAATTGTTTTCTAAAAAGAGATGGAAAGTTTCAGTACTTCCTGTGAGCCCAACCTGAGAGCTGGTGAATAAAGCAAAAGAACAAATAAATATCCTTGAAATTCACTATTTTTGTCTTGATCATGTTACACAGGTGAGGATGGAGCCTTTTTGTGTTTCCTCGTTTGCTTCATAAGAGATACCAACCCTTCTCTGTTTCTGACCTCCATTCTATAGGTCCTAAATATAGCAATACTGTTGGTAACAACCATCCTGCATAATCTGCATATATTTGACGTTTAAAAACCTTCAGCTTCTCTTATAGTAATTAAAAGAGTAAACTTTTTTCTTTGTTTTTTTTTCTTTGTTTGAAACTGAAAATTGACTTTGTCTTTGACTCTTAGCTTCTGGCTAATGGTTTATGGGCTGAGACAGCAGGTAGAAATACGTACAAAACTCTTGAAATAACAGGTTGTGTTAGTATCTTTAGACAGAAAAACCCCTCAATTTTTATGCCTTAAAAGTAAGAAACTATAATTCTGATTTAGGCTCTTTTTAAGGTATTTCATCTTCCTGATATCTTTCAAACCATAGACAAAGGCTAGACTGTTCCACACATTAAGAGATAAATTAAAATACATGTCTAGAAAAAATCATCACTTTATTGAAATAATTAACTTGTCTGAGAGGAAACTGCAGAATACAAAATGTGGCTTCTTATACAAGTCATCTGTAGGCTAGACTTAGCTATGTAAATTAGGTTTAAAAAAAAACAACAAGGTAATCTCTACCTAAAAAATAATAATGGAGAAAAAGTTATAGTAGGCTTAATACAAAACCCATTGAAATAGGGTTTCACTGATCTTTGGATCAGCTCTATTAGTGAAAAAAATTAATGTGGACCAAATTCTGATACCTTCAGTTTGTATTATCATCCTTTTTGTGAGCAATCTCATAACAATAGAACTATTCACAGAAGGCATCAATCAGTCCAAACCAGTCACAACTGTCAAATTATTTTAGAAATAAATACCATATATTCTTACCCAGGCTGCTATGGAGTAAATGGCCCTACTCTTTTACTGAATGTATTTTGCACGTATCCCATCTGTAAATGTTTATTGTGTCTTCTGGGTTTTACTGTTCCCCTGTATTCATTTAAAAATAAAATATTGAGAAGCATGTTCTTCAGTGTTTTGCAGAATAAGTTATGTCCCCTCCTATAGATGGCATAGAATAGTTAAATTACATGAGTGTTATACTTCAAGGCTGCTTCGTTGGTTTTACAAGCACTGCAGTACATTGTATTTTCAGGGTCCTGAGCACAACCTCCTTTAAGGAGTTTAGTTGGTCGAGTTTAGAAGTGCAGCTGGCTGCGTCCAAGGTCAGCTCCTTCGCTGATATGAACTGTTGGGAAGAAAGCTCCTTCCTTGGGAGCTGCTTTTAGGCTGAGGCTCTACTTGTTGTCCCCCAGTGGTGCCACATTTGCACCCAGTCTCATTTTTTTGGTTCTGACCCAGATCCAGACCCGCTGGCTGGGTTTCCTGGCCTGGCCTCAGACCTGCCTTGTTGCCATGGACTCTCTGGGTGACCATCAGACTGTGGCTCAGCCTCGCCACTGTCTCTGGACCTGAGTGGGACCCTGACTTGCCCCTCTGTGCTCTGGGTCCTTGTTGGTGGAGCCACTGCTCCTGCCTGCCTTGTTTCCACGCTCTGCTCCCAACTCACCATCAACTGCAGTGCAGCTGGCCTTGCTGCTCCCAACCCCGCTTACCCCATGCTGGAATGAAAAATCACTGATTGCGTATTGAGTTCCTTGGGAACAAGAGATTACTCTGGCTTGGCAGTTGCAGACATAAAACAGAAGTTTAATTTTCATCCAGAATTACATTTATAAAATATGTAAGATGAGAACCCAAAATATTTTTTTGGAAATCATTTACAAAGTGTAGGTTACAAGACTGCTATTACATGATGTTTGGCGGTTTATGTAGCAAGCATATTGCTTTATTCTAAATGCCTTAAACCCCCTTGCTCTTAGCTTCGTCCTGTGCTCAGCCAAGAAAAGAAATTCTGATCAGATCCTTAGTGTTACAATACTAAAGATAAATGGATTCTAAAATTTTCTAAAATGCATCTCTATTCAGGGTAAAGACCGGGAACATTTCTTTGTTGACCATAAATACATGAATAGATAATCTCAGCATTTCAGCCAGTGTCATTTCCAAGAAGCTTATGTAATAGGAACTGTCCCATGTGAAAGGAAAAGAGCTCTTTGAAGTCTCCACAGCTGTGCTAGTCCCAATAGAGAAAGGAAAACTAACAGATTTGAAGTATTGCTTGGCATCTAAAAACTCCTGACTGTACTTAACAAAGAACAGGTGAAAAAAAAGACTGCAGTGTGAGAGCTAATGAAATGTCTGATCAGGCCCAGTAGCAGGTGTGTATGATCCAGGGTGTGGACTTGGCTGCTCTATTCAACATGCAAATCTTAACAAATCTGCAGTACAATGTAGAATCCTTACCTTCTTTTGCTAGTTAATTACAGAGACTTGGTGAGTTACTGTCAATGTCTGCCCATAAACTGTCCTTCAGCTCTGTGAGCACAGGCCCATGAAATGAGACACTCTTCTTTGTGCCTCGTAAGAACCCTCCAGCACCATGGTTTAAAGGAACCACTGCAGTGGTGGGTTGAATTCCCCTCAGTCCTCTTACACTTCACTTAATTAGTAAGATAATTCAGTAACTTGAACTTTGTGCTCTATTTTCATTGACAAATATTTTTTTTAAAAATATAATTCAAAAACAGGATTAAAGGAAAAAAATGCTGTATTTCTGTTTAATGTTTAGAGTTGTTTTCCCTAAGTTTCGTGGAACTCCTTTAGTTGATTCTTATTTTATTATGGTAGACATCACTAGACTGTGATGAACACCATTTAAATTTACTGTTACACATTTAGTACTGCACTTTCCGTACTGAATGTTGTGAATATAATAGCACATTACATGTGGAGAAATTTTGGGAAGAAAAAATGATTTTTACTTTTTCTTCTGTTAGATGTCCATGAAATCTATAGGAGTTTGCAGTGGATCTGGCCCCACATTTTCTTGGACTGTCCCTTGTAGATATCTTCCTGCTAGCCCCCTGACATCTTATATTTTGATATGCTACAGGTCATTTTACTTCTCTGTCTTTAAAAACTTCTAACCTGGTATGGTAGGTGATAGCAGCCTGCTGAGACCATTGTCCAACAAGTGACCCTCCTAGGGCATGGAGTGACTTTAGGAGTTTGCAGTATGGGTGACTATGCTAAAAGACATACTGAAAGACACGCTGTCATTCTCCAGTGGAAGTGTAGGCATTCAATTTAGGACTTAAGGGAACAACTGTAGCCTGTGTTATATACAAGAGCAGAATAAATAATGGTTTTGGTTTTAAAATATTTGAAACAATCTGACAGGTACAATTAACAGTGTTTGCAGATTAAGTTTACTATGTGGTTGTCTTCTGTTTGTGAATTCTGTGGAGAAATGGTAGACTTCTGTTGGAGGTGGGACAGAAGGTTATTAGGGAAAAATGTAAAAATTAACATGTATCACAGGTATGAATAATTTTGAGGTTTTTGACCACAATTTCATTGCACTTTTAATTAAATCAAGGTAGGTGACCTCTAATATACTTTTTTGAAAATCTCAAATTCTTTATCCTTGGTACTAAGATGCAACTTAACTGGACCTTTAGCAGTTCAATTTTTATACCAGTGTTTAACATATATCCATAAAAATAATTGCAAACCTGAATTTGGGTCTGTACCTGACTTTTTCCCCCCACGTTATTGTAGCTATAATTAAAACAGCTCTTCCCAACATGGACAGAGAAGCCAAAGAAGAATACTTTGTGGTAATCCAAGCGAAAGACATGGGAGGACATATGGGTGGACTCTCTGGAACTACAACAGTGACAATTACACTCACTGATGTTAACGACAATCCTCCAAAGTTTGCACAGAGTAAGTGCCATCATGTGTGTGTGTTCTATATAAGAAAGTAACACAGTGCTTTTATTATTTGATCAAGCTTTTTTTTATCATCATATTGACTGGGTTTGTAATGTAATTTGAAAAGACGTAGCTGCTGTTAAAGAAAGATTAATAGTTCTCTGCCTGATTAAGAGATTAGGAAAGAGGAAATTACATCCACAACAGTGTACATAACTCTCTGTCTTCCTTGGTACCCTCCTTACATCCACACAAAAGGGCTTGGGGACATTTTTTCGTATATTTATTTGCTTTCAGTGCAGTTGTTTCCAAGTGCTAGTTTTAGTTGCTGTTATATGTGCCTCCATCTCATGCAGACAAGTGACACCACCAGTAAAAGACATTTATAACTGATAAAAGAAACAGGTTTGACTAGTTAAGAAATATTGAAAAAAACAAAGAAAGTAAGTCTGAGTCTAGATAATTGTTGATCTTTAATTCAAAATCCATACTTACTGCTGTGGTTCCGATGGATGTCTTGCTGGACCAGGTTAAAATGATTTGGCATCCTGCTGAGACTCTCTACAAGCTTTGTAGTCTTTTTCAAAGATGAAGACAAAAAGAAAAAAGAAGAGGGAAGAGCATAATGACTGGATCGATTTTATTTGGAACAGGTGCAATCTTGTGCACTATTAGACACTTATCTTTTTATCCATATTGTACTGGAGAACTAAAGTGGGAAGGTCTGAACAGTCGGTTTTGGGGTTGGAGAATGTTCACATCTAGACTTTGGATGATTTTTACTTTATTAGAAGCATGTTTTTCTAACAAGGTACTTGTGTACCCAATGTAAAATTAATTCTTTTCAACATATATATGACTTGAAGTCCACTTTTGCCCTGTTTTGAAGACACACAGAGTGAGCACTAGCACTCAGCATGTGATAAATACTCTCCTATGGCCTAGAAATGCACATACAGATATAGAGAAAAAATTTGAAATAAATAAACAGTCAGAAAAGCTTATTTGCAAAATATGTATTTTATTACCTCACTCTGCACAATAAAAGGCTTTCTCTCAGTATAAAGTAAGAAATACATAAAATTTTTTACTTTATATCACATTGCGTTGCTTGCACTTGTGTAGTAGTGTTTTCCAATGTATGATGGTAATTTCCCTAATAAAGTCAACGTCTGTCCATTGTGGCTCCTGGCTGAACCGTATCACCAGAATGCAGAGGGATGTTTCTTTCATACCTGCAATGCACTCTGTGACTACAGATCTAATTTTGCCAGCTTACCTGGCTTTTATATTTGTATCAGCACTTTCTGTCTCAAGAAGCCTTTGCCTGCCAGTTTGCAAAAAGCTGGTCAGAAAATCAGCAGCACAGCCGGCACTAATTGGTACATCTGCTGGAGGTCTCAGC